AGCTTGGTGTGTCAGGGTCTTATTAACCAGGCTGACAGTGGGACAGAGAAAAGGTTTCCAGCTCTACCTCCTCTACCAGACTGATGGTCTGTGGCTGCAGCCTCTTCATACCGGAGAGTCTCCAGTCTCCAGTGAGGATCCTCCAGTCCAGCAGACAGCAGCTTCACTCCTGAGTCTCCTGGATGATTGTAGCTCAGGTCCAGCTCTCTCAGATGGGAGGGGTTGGAGCTCAGAGCTGAGGCCAGAGAAGCACAGCCTTCCTCTGTGATTAGACAGCCTGACAGCCTGCAGACACACAGAATAAGACACATGTCACATGATGTGAGGGAGCTGTGAGGGCTGGAAGGTCACTACAGTACTGAGATACTAGCAGGTACAGAGGGGTCACATTCACATGGTTACTGACTGGTTTCCAGTCACAACTAAACACCCACTAATGTACATCAACAACCTGATAACATTACCACTAACTCCATAATGTCAAATATTTACATTATATTGAAAATAAACACATTTTATGGAAATAGTTGGAAAATACATGTTCGATTTAAATCATGCAAGCAGAAAGAATCTTATGAAGGTCAGAAATGTACCATGGCTGTAAATAAAGACACCAAGAGGACATTCATTGAATCCTGACCTGAGAGTCTCCAGTTCACAGTGTGGACTATCCAGTCCAGCAGACAGCAGCTTCACTCCTGAATCCTGCAGGTGGTTGTTACTCAGATCCAGCTCTCTCAGACTAGAGGACTGGGAGCTGAGAACTGAGGACAGAGCGTCACAGCTTCTCTCTGACAGGTTACAGACACTCAGTCTGAAGAGAGGGATGACGAAGAAGCAGAAAGTTTAAAAGATGGCAGCATATTTAAGTTCTGATGTATGAATCTAACTCTCTCTGTACTTACAGAACTTTGTTGGAGGCTTTGACCACTGGCAGCAGCCTCAGAAGCGCCTCCTCTGAAGCAGAGTATTTCTTCAGGTCAAACACCTCCAGATCTTCTTCTGATGACAGTAAGATGAAGACCAAAGCTGACCACTGAGCAGGAGACAGTTCCTCTATGGAGAGACGTCCTGAATTAAGTGACCGTTGGATCTCTTCCACTAGAGAAGCATCATTCAGTTCATTCAGACAGTGAAACAGATTGATGCTTTTCTCTGGAGACACATTCTCACTGATCTTCTCCTTGATGTACTGGACTGTCTCCTGATTGGTCTGTGAGCGACTTCCTGTCTGTGTCAGCAGACCTTGTAGGAGAGTCTGATTGGTCTCCAGGGAAAGACCCAGGAGGAAGCGGAGGAACAAGTCCAGGTGTCCATTAGGACTCTGTAAGGCCTTGTCCACAGCACTCTGGTAGAGACGCATTGGTTCAGGTTTGTCTCTAAAGACTTTAGACACCGGGGAGGTTGTTTGTTCTTCTGACAGCAGATTGACACCAGAGCTGAAGAAGGTCAGATGGACATGAAGAGCAGCCAGAAACTCCTGAACACTCAGATGGACGAAGCAGAAGACCTTGTTCTGATACAGTCCTCTCTCCTCTCTAAAGATCTGAGTGAACACTCCTGAGTACACTGAGGCTGCTCTGATATTGATGCCACACTCTGTCAGGTCGGATTCATAGAAGATCAGGTTGCCTTTCTGCAGCTGATCAAAGGCCAGTTTTCCCAGAGACTCGATCATCTTCCCCCTGTCTGGACTCCAGTGTGGATCCGTCTCAGCTCCTCCATCGTACTTGACCTTCTTCACTTTGGACTGAACCACCAGGAAGTGGATGTACATCTCAGTCAGGGTCTTGGGCAGCTCTCCTCCCTCTCTGGTCTTCAACACCTCCTCCAGAACTGTAGCAGTGATCCAGCAGAAGACTGGGATGTGGCACATGATGTGGAGGCTTCGTGAGGTCTTGATGTGAGAGATGATGCTTCTGGCCTGCTTCTTGTCTCTGAACCTCTTCCTGAAGTACTGCTCCTTCTGGGGGTAAGAGAACCCTCTGACCTCTGTCACCATGCCAACACACTCAGGAGGGATCTGATTGGCTGCTGCAGGTCGTGTTGTTATCCAGAGGCGAGCAGAGGGAAGCAGCTTCCCCCTGATGAGGTTTGTGAGGAGCACATCCACTGAGGCCGACTCAGTGACATCAGTCAGGATCTCATTGTTGTGGAAGTCCAGAGGAAGTCGACACTCATCCAGACCGTCAAAGATGAACACAACCTGGAACTCTTCAAACCTGCAGATTCCTGCTGCTCTGGTTTCACTGAAGAAGTGATGAACAAGTCCCACCAAGCTGAACTTCTTCTCTCTCAGCACATTCAGCTCTCTGAAGGTGAATGGAAATGTGAACTGTATGTCCTGGTGGTCTTTTTCTTCAGCCCAGTCCAGAGTGAACTTCTGTGTTAAGACTGTTTTCCCAATGCCAGCCACTCCCTTAGTCATCACTGTTCTGATTGGTTCCTCTCCTCCAGCTGAGACTTTGAAGAGGTCTTCTTGTCTGATGGTTGTTTCTGGTCTGGCTAGTTTCCTGGATGCTGTTTCAATCTGGCTGACCTCATGTTCTTCATTGACCTCTGCAGTCCCTCCCTCTGTGATGTAGAGCTCTGTGTAGATCTCATTCAGAAGGGTTGGGTTTCCCGCTTTGGCGATCCCCTCAAAAACACACTGGAACTTCTTCTTCAGGTTGGATTTGAGTTCACGCTGACAATCTGCAGGAAGAAGTCCTGAATGAAGACAACAAAGAAGATCAATGAGTCAAAGAATAGATTGCTTTCCTCAGAGAATGACTATGAATATATTCTGTCCATGTCTTGAGACATTAGTGAAGGTCTCATGTATCAGCATGGTAAGTCTGTAGAGAAATCCTCTTACTGCTCTGCAGACGCTCAGCCAGCTCCTCCTGCTTCATTCTCCTCAGGATGTGCACTGAGATCTTCACAAATGCCTCTCTGCTCCTCCTCTGCTCTTCATCCAGCTCCTTCTCATCCTCTTTCTCTAAGCATTCTGGGTAATCTGAACTCACAACCTTCTGGATCTTCTTTAGCTCATTCTTCACAAAAGTGAGAATGTTCTCCTCCAGCAGCTGGAATAGAACATTCTATGAATGACACAAACTAGAACCATGGGAGCCACCATCAGGTCCATGTTGGACAGACGGACAATCCACTGGTCTACAAAGTGTAGCATGGAGATGATGGTGAACTGAGACATGTTAAAGTACACACATGTACACACCATGAAGATGGAGTCCAGGTGTGTTTGATGCTGCTGGGCAGACGGACCTGTGGGAACCTCTGAGGTCTCCTGGTCCTCTCTGTGGAGGAACATGAACCATCAGCTCACATGGTGTTTGGACCATCAACACCGATACAACATTAGTTAAAGATATTGCTTCTGTCATGATTGATCATGATAAAAACCAGATGACGACTGTCGATTTATTGGTTGAGTGACAGTTAGTCATCTGTTTCATCTGGTTTTAGTTCTTACTTTGGGTCATAAAAACAACGTTTGCAGACTTCTGCATCTGGTACAGAGTCTTATGGAACTACTCCAAACCTCTTTAGTCCGTCCCCTGACCTCTAGAAGTCTCCTTAGATCTTCTGAAACTAGACTTTGGACCTTTTAACAAAGTCAATACTTCCTCCAAACCCCTGTGTAGGAGCCATATTAATTTGGTATTAATTCATTTAATGTTGCTCTGTGCCACTTGGGGGCTGTATGTCCTTTGTGGCTCAGCCGACCTCGGATCAGCCCAGGTAGGCCATTTAACCTGCAGGAATCCCAGACACAGGTGTTGCTAATTTGGAAAGCAAACAGTTTTCGACTGTGCCAGTGTGCGTGTGTGCCTTTGTGGTGAGCAATGCGGTTATTATGGGTACCTGTATTATGAGGTCAAGTTTTGCCGCTGTATGATATGTGGATGTAAAATAAACATGCAAGGTAATTGTACCGATCACAGAACTCTCCATTTTGCTGTGTTCGAGCGCACCGGGCGCACGTCTAAATCTATCTACCGTATTAGCAACCAGTACTAGACTTGGTCAGTACACCCTGCATGGAGTACAGAGACCACGTTAGCTGGTCCACAGGGCATTGAGTTTATTCTAATCACATGTTCAGTCCCAGTCATCTGTCTCCAGATGTGACCTCTGCTGATCCTGATGTGGAGGAACTAGCTCACATTGTGTTTATATCTGAGGATGTTTACAGTTAATGATTCACACTTAAACACAGATTCTGTTTAGGAACTTACTCTGGGTCATAAGAACGGCGTCCATCTTTGAAGTCAATCATATGACCTTTAGACCGATCACTCTTCATGGACAAACATCTGGCTTCAGGAGACTTTCCTCTCTGCTGATGTGAACTGAAAGAAACACTGAGATTACATCATCACATCATCATCTAATCATGAAGCATCAGCTCACATGGTGTCCGTCCTCACAGAGACCCAAACAAGGTAAAGGTCCATGATGTGAGGTCTGGATGTGGACCACATGAGACCCTGTAGTGGTTTAGGTCTACTGGTCCTGCTGGTCCCACTGAGAATCAACAGCTGAGTCTTTCAGCTCACTGTTTTCTTCACCAGTCAGTTTGGTTTAGTCCCAACAGGTCTCACCAAGTCCTCCATGGAGCTCTCCCTCCCTCACTGAACACTGCTGAAGGGCCCTGGAGCAAGAAACCCAGAACCTCCACCAGAGAGTCTGATAGAAACACCTCATCATCAGCCTGAGACCCTCACCTTGCATCAATAGAGGGACCAACGTCTTTAAAGTATAGAGGAGGATCCATAGACCGGTTACTCTTCATGGACACACAGCTGGGTCCAGGTCCAGGTCCAGGTCTCTGATGGGGCCTGGTCACATATGTAGAACCAGAGTCAGTGAGTCAAAGTCGTTGGGACATGGAGAAGAGTGGAGGACAGTTGGAGATGGTCCTCTCACCTCTGAGCTTTGGTTTGGCTGTCATGTTCCCCACACAGAGGGGCTTCAGAGGGAGGGACTCCCTCCTCTGGGTCCTCAGCCTGATTCATAGCAGAGTCCACACCTTCACAACAACCTGCTGGGAGAGCTCACACATTATTGAAAAACCACCAATTTTGTCTTTTCCTATAAAGCCAAATAAAAGCGCAGCAGCTAAACCAGAAGTGCACATTTTCACAGTAAAAGTCCTGGAATGGAAAGTTTGTAGGCTAGAAATGCGTCTGTGATCCAGCGTATAGCAGGGTAGCATATGAAGAAATGTTAGCTACTGATGTTTTTGTAGCCAAATTCAGTCCAAAGGTTTGGACACCTTCTCATTGAATCTAATGAGTAAATGTGTCCAAACGTTTGACTGTTCATCTCATTTAAGAACAGTGTGGTTGAGGTTTGGGCTTTGGGCCGTTTTACAACATGAATGCTTTGATGTGAACTAGGGATGGGGCCGATCCGATCCAGTATTGGTATCGGGACCCGATACCAGAGAAATTCGGGTATCGGATTTTCCGATACAACCTTTGTAGATTTCCGATATCAATGAGCCATGTCTGCGCTTTAACGTCGTCTGCTGAAATGACTCCAAAGGTGATCCCCGCCTGCTAGCCTGCTAGCTGGCTACAAACTGTGGAATGGATTTCCTGAGCGTGTCTCATAACTGTCTCATTGAGCCGCGCCTCCGTTCAGGAATCCATTCCACAGTTTGTAGCCAGCTAGCAGACTAGCAGGCTAGCAGGCTAGCGCTGAGGCTAGACTGTTTAGCACAGCAGCCAATATCATGGATGAAAAAAGGAATCGTCTAACTGCAGAGAGCAGAAATGCTCATATTCCTCAAGAAGAACCTGCTGATGTAAGATTTGTTGAACACTAACATCACTTCCTCAGAGTCAACTTTGAGACATTCAATTTTTGTTTTCTTTTAAAGAATAGTTAGACTCTGGTGTTTAGTTTATTTCAGGTCATCTTAAGTGCTGTTCTGATGCACACTGTTTTAAAACTTATTGTGTGTGTGTGTAAGAGAGTAAGTGTGATTGCGTGTGTGAATGAGTGAGACTGTGTCAAGTGTGTTTACAGTTATTTTATTGCACTATTCTTCAGATATTTGACATGTTGTTCATGATACAAGAGTCAGTTTACTTGATTTGTGCTGTTATTTTTGTAAACGAGTGAGTGAGACTGTGTGTCAAGTGTGTATGTGTGTGTGTGTAAGATGTTCACACTTGCACTTTTCATATTTCTAAATTTTTGAGACTCAAGTATTTGACATTCATGAAATTAAATAAATATTGACATGGCAATCAATCTGAAACCATTAGTTTCAAATTTGTTTTCAGAATTTTTTCTGTTAACAGGATTTCCTGTTTTTCCAAACACAGCTCTGGTATCGGAATATTATCTGTATCGGCCGATATCCAAATTTAGGTATCGGATCGGAAGTGAAAAAATGTGGATCGGTGCATGCCTAATGTGAACTATTCCATTGTAGCCAAGGCTGTATTTGTATCTGTAGTTTAGGCTCATTGTCCTCTTGTCCTCTATTTGGCTCCGTCTATCTTCCCCTCATTCATTTTCTCCTGGTCCAGCATGTTAGTTTGGTTGGACTTCCTTCTCTTGGCAGGTTTGTGGTTTTTTTAATCTTTCATAGACTTGAAAGCTAAATAAGTTCTGCAGGTGGATTTGACTGTGTTACCTTGAAGCTAAAGGAGGTGAATGATTCTGCTTTCATAGAAGCACAAGCACTCACTACCTGGAAGGGGATCGAATCAAATAATGTGTGTCATGAGATCAATAAGGCTAGACTACACAAGGCTTTTGCTACCCTCAGCTGGCAGACATCTTGTCTGCCGAGATTAGGGGCGCTGGCCTCGGGACGGACGTTCTGTCCCATGAGGGTAAACAATCCGTCCTCCGTACGTGCATAACCATCCCTATGTTTTGATGCCATACCTGCAGTATATATTCCTGCTCCAAAGATGAAAAACTTTGAGCAGGCTTGGCGCATGACTTGTATGTGTGTCAACTCTGTCTCCTGTTTGCAAACATTAAATAACCTGTTTTGATGATTTTACGCCGGTGTCGAGTGAGAATTTTTCTGACATATTTGGTCCTTCGAGCCGGATCTCAACATCTCTTTTTTCCTCACAAAGTTTGGACCTGAAACCGTACGGGGGAGTCTGGGACTCCTTTCCAATAAGTCCTCCGCCCGTTACAGGATTGGTTTGGATAGTTGAGAGGCCAGGTTCTACTTGAGGTGGATGGGAGTGACGAGAAGGGGGAAGGTTTTTTAAGAGGAAAGTCTTTTGATTTCGGAGTTCAGTGTCTGGTGTTTGGGGGAAGGTTTTCTTTAGGACTCTCTTTGGGCATTTGGGAGGAGTAGTCGTTTTGTCTATACAGGTGGTTTAGGGAAATGTTCTATGGGTGTTATTGGAGTTGCCCATAACCTGGCGTGAGTTGCCGCAGGACAAGATACTGGGGTGCAATCTTCGGGGGGTTTTCTTGGAATCTTTAGCCCGGCACAAATAGGTGCGGGGGCCTGGAGACTGGGGTTGTTTCTGATAACCTTGACAGGTCTAAAAACAGGAATCGGGTTGTTTCTGAAAACAGTGTGAAACCGTAAGTACTAAAAACAGAAATTGGTTGTTTCGGAGTTCCATTGTCAGTAAGGCATAAAAACGAGAATCTGTTGCTTCAGGGTTCCGTGTCCCTAAGGTTAAAAGTGAGATCGGTTGTTTCAGGGTTCCGTGTCCCTAAGGCTAAAAGTGAGATCGGTTGTTTCAGGGTTCCGTGTCCCTAAGGCTAAAAGTGAGATCGGTTGTTTCAGGGTTCCGTGTCAGTAAGGCTAAAAGTGAGATTGGTTGTTTCAGGGTTCCGTGTCAGTAAGGCTAAAAGTGAGATCGGTTGTTTCAGGGTTCCGTGTCAGTAAGGCTAAAAGTGAGATTGGTTGTTTCAGGGTTCCGTGTCCTTAAGGCTAAAAGTGAGATTGGTTGTTTCAGGGTCCTGTGTCAGTAAGGCTAAAAGTGAGATCTGTTGTCTCAGAGTTCCGTGTCCCTAAGGCTAAAAGTGAGATCGGTTGTTTCAGGGTCCTGTGTCAGTAAGGCTAAAAGTGAGATCGGTTGATCCAAGATGGCGTCGTTGATGGCCGCCACGGTGCTTCGGTGCGCTTCGTTTTTTGTTGTTTTTGTTGTTAATTACGTTTGCTGCTGCGATTCCCAGAGCTCTTTCACCAGAGATCTCTTGAACATCCGTGGAACAACTCCAGCAGAGTTACTTCCAACTTTCCTGCTTTCTTCCGTGGAATTACTGGACATTCTAGTCAAAGGTGCGTTCACCTTTCGTCACGCGGTGAGACGCCGTAGGAGAGGAAAACGGGCCGGCTCGCTGGTGAGACTCCGCAAGCGAAATTCAGCTGCCGGTGAGGAGAGAAAAAGACTTCTCTACATCCTCCGTTTTGTGCTTCACGGAGACGTGGCTCTGCGGAATCGATACCGGACTCCGCGCTCCAGCTGGCGGGCTTCCAGCTGCTCCGAGCGGACCGCGACACGGAGCTCTCCGGCAAGACGAAGGGTGGAGGAATCTACTTCTACTTCAACAACAGCTGGTGCAACGACGTAACGGTGACCCTAAAACACTGTTCTCCTGATCTGGAAACTTTCTTCATCAACTGCAAACCCTTTTATTCCCCCCGTGAGTTCGCTTCATTCATCCTGGTCGGTGTTTACATGCCGCCGGCGGGCAACGTGCACGAGGCTCAGCGGACACTCGCCGACCAGATACGGCGTGTGGAGCGGACCAACCCGGACTCTTTAGTTATTGTCATCGGGGACTTTAACAAAGGAAATCTCACCCATGAACTCCCTAAATACAGACAGTTTATTAAATGCCCCACCAGAGAGGAGAACACGCTGGATCACTGTTACACCACAGTAAGCAGGGCTTATCACGCCGTCCCTCGTGCTGCACTGGGTCACTCTGACCACGTCATGGTCCATCTGATTCCTGCATACAGGCAGAAACTAAAGCTCTGCAAACCTGTGGTGAGGGAATTCAAGAGGTGGACCAGTGAGGCGCTGGAGGATCTTCGGGCGTGCTTTGACTGCACAGACTGGGATGTTTTCAGGACTGCTACTGACAGTCTGGATGAGTTCACAGAGGCTGTAACTTCCTACATCGGCTTCTGTGAGGACAGCTGTGTACCATCATGCACCAGGGTGAGTTACAACAACGACAAACCCTGGTTCACAGCGGAACTCAGAACACTACGCCTGCAGAAGGATCAGGCATTTAGAAGCGGGGACAAAGACTTGTACACAGAGGCAAAATACAAGTTTAGCAAGGCGGTGAGAGATGCTAAACGACTGTACTCTGAGAAACTCCAACAACAGTTCTCAGCAAGTGACTCTGCTTCGGTTTGGAGAGGCCTCAAACACCTCACTAACTACAAGCCAAAAAAACCCCACTCCATGAATGACCTCCGCCTGGCAGACGAGCTCAATGAGTTCTACTGCAGATTCGAAAGACAATGTACTAATTCCATCCCCCACAGCTCCGCCAACCTGCTGCAGTCCCACACTCCTCCCTCCCCCAGCCCATCAGGTGCTCACGCCTCTTCATCCATATCACCTTCCCCTCCCCCACCAGCAATGACCCTCTCTATTCTGGAGAGAGACGTTAACCGGCTCTTTAAAAGACAAAATCCTTGAAAGGCAGCCGGTCCGGACTCCGTCTCCCCTCACACCCTGAAGCATTGTGCTGACCAGCTGTCTCCGGTTTTCATTGACATCTTCAACACCTCCCTGGAGACATGCCACGTACCAGCCTGCTTCAAGGCCTCCACCATCATCCCTGTTCCCAAGAAGCCCAGGATCACAGGACTCAATGACTACAGGCCCGTCGCCCTGACCTCTGTAGTCATGAAGTCTTTTGGACGGCTAGTCCTGACCGACCTGAAGTCCCTCACCGACCCCCTCCTGGACCCCCTGCAGTTCGCCTACGGAGCCAACAGGTCTGTGGACGATGCTGTCAACATGGCCCTCCACTACATCCTCCAGCATCTGGACTCCCCAGGAACCTACGGCAGGATCCTGTTTGTGGACTTCAGCTCTGCCTTCAACACCATCATCCCGTCTCTGCTGCAGGACAAACTCTCCCAGCTGCACGTGCCCGACTCCACCTGCAAGTGGATCACAGACTTCCTGTCTGACAGGAAACAGCACGTGAAGATTTGCGGAAACATGTCTCAGCCTCTCGGACCATCAGCACCGGTTCCCCCCAAGGCTGCGTTCTTTCCCCTCTGCTCTTCTCCCTGTACACCAACAGCTGCACCTCCAGTCACCAGTCCGTCAAGCTCCTGAAGTTTGCGGATGACACCACCCTCATTGGACTGATCTCTGGTGGGGATGAGTCCACCTACAGGTGGGAGTCCGACCATCTGGTGTCGTGGTGCAGTCAGAACAACCTGGAGCTCAACGCTCTAAAGACAGTAGAGATGGTTGTGGATTTCCGGCAGAACAGAGCCCCACCCTCCCCCATCACCCTGTGTGACTCCCCCGTCACTATTGTGGATTTCCTGGGCTCCATCATTACCCAGGACCTCAAGTGGGAGCTGAACATCAGCTCCATCACCAAGAAGGCTCAGCAGAGATTGTTCTTCCTGAGGCAGCTGAAGAAATTCAACCTGCCAAAGACGATGATGATCCACTTCTGCACGGCCATCATCGTGTCCATCCTCTGCTCCTCCATCACCATCTGGTACGCTGCAGCCACAGCCAAGGACAAGGGCAGGCTGCAGCGTGTCATCCGCTCTGCAGAGAGGGTGATTGGCTGCAATCTGCCGTCCCTGCAGGACTTGTTCGCTTCCAGGTCTCTGAAGCGAGCTAAAAAGATCGTGGCCGACCCCTCTCACCCCGGACAAAAACTGTTTGTGCCCCTTCCATGTGGCAGGAGGCTGAGGTCCATCAGGACTAAGACCTCCCGCCACACAAACAGTTTCTTCCCGTCGGCAGTCGGGCTCATCAACAGAGCCCGGTCCCCCACTGACTGACTCTGACATTCCACCGGTCACTCCCCTTCATACTGCACATGTCACTTTAACTGTAATTTATCACTTTGTCATCACTCGTCACTTCGTTACTTGTTCGTTAGTGCACTTTATGCTTAATATTTTTTTTAACTTTTTTAATATTTAAAATTTTTAACTTTAACTTTATTCCCTTGTTTTATACTAACCCATAGCCTTATTCTACTAACCCATTGCATTAGCATTTCATTTTACTTTATTTTATTACTTGTGCACTGCTGTCTTGTTGTCTATTGTCACACTGTCTACTGTCACGCACCAACCGCCAAGACAAATTCCTTGTATGTTTGACATATTTTGGTAATAAATGTTTCCTGATTCCTGATTCAGGGTTCCGTGTCAGTAAGGCTATAAGTGAGATCGGTTGTTTCGGGGTTCCGTGTCCCTAAGGCTAAAAGTAGAAGCTCAGCCATTCGCGAGGAGCTCGGAGTAGAGCTGCTGCTCCTTTGCGTCGAAAGGAGCCAGTTGAGGTGGTTTGGGCATCTGGTGAGGATGCCCCCTGGGCGCCTCCCTAGGGAGGTGTTCCAGGCACGGCCAGCTGGGAAGAGGCCCCGGGGAAGACCCAGGACTAGGTGGAGAGATTATATCTCTGCACTGGCCTGGGAATGCCTTGGGATCCCCAGTCAGAGCTGGTAGATGTGGTCCTCCAGCTCTCTCTCCGGCCTTCATACGTCCTCCTCCACCTCCTCAGTCCCCATCACAACCCACAGCGCTGGTCCCACGGAGCCCGAGCCCAGACCTTGTGTCTGCATTAACCAAAGCTATGAGCCAGAACTTCTGCATCCAGCTACAGGGCACCAGATCGGACCGAGGGACTGGTAAGCAACGAATACCAGTACATTATTCCTGAGAGTCTCTGAACCTCAATCCCAAAACTAATGTGTTTATACCAGCAGCAACAGTGCTGCGGAGCAGAGAAAAATACTTAATATGATGATTATGATGTTAAAGTATCTGAACCCTGTTTGTTCTTATGTGTATTCCTGAGACAAATAGAGACGCGGAGGCCTGTGGACCAGAGGCTGTGGGGGGACAAAATGAGTGGAACAGGGAGGACGCCTTCAAAAGACGGGATGGTGTTTGGATGGAGGAGAGAGGGAGGAGGACAAGCGGAGGATGGTGGATCCCTTTTCAACGGACAACAGGTCATATGCAAACAAACACAAACACACAGCCATAGGCTGATGGGGAAACAGGAGAGAAGTAACAAGTAATAAATTAACTTTAATGGAAGAGGATGTGAGATAATATTTTTGTGTGATTCTAGAAGCACGCAGATCTGTTATTTTAACCTCCAGATGAACGAAAAAAGAAAATAAGTTAATAAATGTGTTTATTAATTGATAAAACGTCACTATTAGGGTGAGACTACAAACGAACACCAGCACAAAGAATATCTGTTGGTGCAATTAATGATCATAGATCCAAAAACAGGTTTACAAACAAGAGAACGATTGGTATTATCAAAGAATGGTTTTGTTAACAGGTTTCGTCAAAATGAATGGAAGCTTATTGGAATGAAGCATGAGTGACTGATGTGAGAGTTTAACTCAACAAGCTGTTACTACAATTTTGGTTTTAACTATAGAGGTAATAAATCAGTTACACAAGAGCTAAAGGAAATTTATGAAGTAATTCCTTATTCTGTGTGAGAGAACAAGAATTGGTGACGTGCACTGAATGAGTGTACCTCAAGAACACACAAAGCGTTAAGTGAAATGAATCCGGATTGCAAATATTTATCTGGGATATAATTGGATGATGCACTTTACTTAAATTCAAGGGCGTAAGGATTGTCCATTGAGAATAAGCTCATAATTGCTGGGATGTAAAGATTTAAAACAAAACCTTTACACCAGCGGTTCCCAAACTCGAGAATAGCGCGGCCCACCCAAACCTTTAATCACAACTCTGATCAAAACATCATGATTAAATGACCTTAAGAATTTAACCAAAATCAAACATCCGCGAGCAAAAGTCCGTCTCCGCGAGGTATTTGCTCGCTTGCGAAACGTGAACTTATCGCGACGAGCGTCGTAGACGAGCTTTGGCATGTTTGGCAGAGCGCCGTGTACAACCAGTATGGATCAACCGATTAACCAATTGATCCATATATATAAGGCGCTCCGGATTATAAGGCACTGTCGTTTTGAGAAAATTAGAGCCTTTTAAGTGCGCCTTGGAGTGCGGAAAATGCGGTATATTTACTTTAATACCACAAGAGGGCGCCCCGTTTGTTGAACAACGACAGGCGGACAGCCTTATTGTTTTATTAATCTCTCCTTTTAAATTGTTTGTGCTTCATACACTAATGTTTCACATAACTAATGTGCCGCATCATGAATATTTTTATATTAATTTCAAACTTTTAAAAATTGAAAATTAAAAAACTTTATTTATTTATTGTAAATGACCTCTCGCGACCCACCTGCAGTACCTTCGCGGCCCACACTTTGGGAATTGCTGCTTTACACAAACAAGCGGATTGTAGAGGTAATTTGATGACGTCAACCACCAGATCTATAAAAAAAAAAAAAACATAGATAATTGGTATTACAACAACTAAATAAAATCAAATACCAAAAAAAAAAAAAAAAACCTGTTTAAATACACAGCACACAATTGGTGGTGAATGGTTCAACAGGAAACCACCTGATCAACTTTCCTAAGAGAAAACATTTTGGCAAAAAAACACAACTGAGAGAATGTGGAAGGTAAAGACCTTCTATAGAGATTAGGCCATTTTGAGCTATGTTAAATTAACACATGCTGAACAGGAGGGATGGAAAGGCTGTGCAGCGTTTAACTGTACAAATGACTAAAAACAACACAACACAAATCCAGGTTTTAAATTACGAGAAAACATCAGTATGGACTTTATTGAACTAAATCAATGTAAAGAAAAGGAATACTGTCTGACAATCATAGAAATGTTTTCCAAATTAAACCTCCCATAAACCTCCCCCGATAGGCCAAAGGAAAAGAAATGTGCTACGTTACATTATCTGTTGCCACCAATCAAGTCTGACTCGAGGCCGCCATACTTCTCACCCTATGCAGCTAATTACACCTGTTTCACCAGATATTGTGATAATGGACAACGCCCAGGGCTGACACCTGGTGGTTCTGTGGGGGTAAGAGGCTTCTAGCCACACTTCCTGAGCAGTGGAGTGGCACTTGCGCCATCGTACAGCTGGTGATGCCGTTCTATGCGTTACTGAGGGGGACCGAGCCCCCGAGCACTGTCCAGAAGACAGACCACCACAGGTCAAAGAGGTCACTAACCTCACCGGCCGGTAGCTTTAACCCATCCATGTAAATTGATACCATCGGGGTCCCTCGGGGGGCTACCAGACGAATACAAGGCCAGACATCCAATATCTGCAGGGTTTGAGTCAATGTTCTTTTGGTGAGTAACGATAAACAAAAATGTCGACTGGATAAACTACATCTATTATAACGATTCATCAACCAGAGCGATAGATGGGTTGCACGGGCAGCTACACAAAGCTAGTCTAATGGTGAGGCAAAATCGAATGACACTAGACGTGTTAGTGAGAGAAAAGGGGAGAGTCTGTAAAATGTTTGGTCAATCAACGTGCTGTACTTTCATCCTCAACAACACTGTCCCAGACGGGTCAGTGACCAAGGGGCTAAAGGGGCTCTGAGGAATCAGCAGAAAACGCTGGAATCCAGAACCCGTTCACTAAAATGCTGGAAAATTGGTTTGGCAAGTGGAAAGATTTGGCAATCTCGATGTTTACTTCCATCTTTCTGGCAATCGCTCTCTTCGGAGTTGGCGGCTGTTTTCCTATTCCCTGTGTGAGAGCGTTGCTAAGGAAGTGGATAGATGCTGCATTGAGTCGCCCTAATGGACCAAATTAAGAACAATGTTTGATGACTTGGATTCTTTCGAAGAGGGAAAAAAAACAAGAACATCCCCCCCTGCCTCCTGCCACAGGTGCTGTAACCTCAGGCTGGGGGGGCCTCTACGGTGCAAAGTACCTGAGCCTGAAGACAACCATTTTTTTTCCTCCTCTCCTTTTACCTTCTTTTTGGGGTTTTATTTGTATGATTGATTTGCCTTTTGTCGCCCTTTTTCCTGTAAAAAGTATAAATGTTTAACTATCTTTATCCTCTCGTTTTATACGAAGCCATAGCCTTATTCTACTAACCCATTGCGTCAGCATTTCATTTCATTTTATTACGTGTGCGCTGCTGTCTTGTTGTCTATTGTCACACTGTCTGCTATCACGCACCAACCGCCGAGACAAATTCCTTGTATGTTTGACATATTTTGGCATTAAATGTTTCCTGATCCTGATTCCGATATTGCATCAAACAGCGCACAGATGAATGAGTATCTGTGTACATGGATGAATGTAAATGTGTCTGCGTGTAGTCAACTGCTGTTGTTAACACACGATGACGTTTCATATTCATTCTTCTAATGTTACTCTGCTATATTATAGATATTGTTGCGTCACAGACGGATTTCTATCGTACAAACGTTCTATTGCGTTTTACTGTTAAAATGTGCGCACTTCCGGTTTAGCGGCTGCGCTTCGGTTTCTTTTAAAAGGAACAAACAAAAAGGGATTTACAGAAAAACAGATCGGTCGTTTTTTCGTGTTTGGATTTGGACAGAAAAGGACATTTACTCTTTTGGTTTAAAGCGAAAAAACTCAAATAAAACGGTGTTATTTCCGTATTTTCGTTTTATTTCCGTATTTTTCGTCTAAACGGTAAAGGAACTTTGCAAAGGTTGACGGCCCGTTAACACACAAACACACAGTAAACACACGCTGTGTGTCACGGGACATACTCACACGATGTGACACTTTAAGACGTTCAAGTGAAGCTTGGTGACTTTCTACGCGTCTCCCTCACGTCTTCTTCCGGTTTGTGCTGCTGTGCTCTCGCCTCCCGCAACACGCGCAGTTCTTGTGGAGGCGCTGGAAGGACAATGTGGGAAGTACTTTTCTGAGGCTGACTCCCGGCGCAGGGACAAGGCTTGAAGACAGTTTCCATCCAGAGACAACGCAGCAGACGGCACACGCCTGACAGTGACAGAGGAGGATCAGCTCATCCAACTATCCACTGACCGTACGTTCAGAAACATTTACCAAACCAACCCACACAGTTCTGGATCTCTGGCCACAAAGACTTTCCACACCCAAAAGCAATGATGAGCCTTTTGCCCTTTGCAACAACTTATCTTTGCCAAAGTGGATTTTCCTCCCTCACCTCCCTGAAAAACCAATCCAATCTAATAGTGATGAGATGTCGACTGATTCATGATTGACAGACTATGCAGACACCCCCCCCCCCCAGAGAAAACAACAACAACAAGTCAAGAGTCAGAATCTCCCGCAGTGGAGGGAGGAGAAAAGCTGGAAGGAGAAGGCGTCCAATCACAGATGAATACTGGCGAGGCGCAGTAGAAGGAAACAAAGGGCCCCTTGCAGCAGACTCATAACACACTGTGTGATACGCGGCGTAACGCAGTGTGTGTTCATCTGCAGCTACACTTTGGGCTCCGACGTCTTGGTCCAGGGTAACGGATCAGACTCAAGAGCTTTTGTGGGAAGAAATGCGTAAATATGAGCCGTCATTGGCGGACTATGAGGACGCCGGATGGCCTCTGATTCATGGAGGGAGCAAAGTCGTGGAGGAAAATACGGGACAAATGTGTCCGTGATGAAAAGCAGCAGTGTGGATGCACGGGGCAATAAAGTCTATGATCAATAAATAAAGCCACCAGCGACTTCCACACACAAAGACGTGACTCTCCAGGTCGTCTTCAACAAAACACGTGACTCCACCTGTTGTTCTGGAGGTGAATCGCTCTGCAACACACGCAGGACTTTACAAGCAGGAAGTGAAACCAGCGCGTCGACGCAGACGCAGAAACACGCGGCGGCCTTTAGCCTGGGGGGGAATAACTGTTCAGGCTAGAATGCAGATGTTTGTTTACTCTGTCTCTTTTGTTTTTGCTTGTTGGACTGTGTGTGTTTATTGTTGGTTTTTCTTTCATGTTTTGTGTTCTGGCTCCTTTGTAAAAGTGGAATAAAGGATTCTTTAAACCTCAAACCTCTCTCTCTCTCTCTCTCTCTCTCTCTCTCTCTGTCTCTGTCTCCTGTGGTGGAAGACTTTGCACAGACAATCGTTAAGTAAGAAACAAAGGCTCTGAGTCAAGTGTGTCTTTTCTCCGTTTATTTCCTTGCAAGGGAAAAAGGGTCACAACAGCTACGTGGTCAGTAGACTGTCAAGAACCTCCTTCTGCCCCCAACACATCGAGGCAGTTCTTATACCTAAGTTTAGATATCGGTGGCGTTGTCACGGTGTGGTTCACTTCATGTTATATTTTGTAGTTTTCTGCCACTCGTGTCCCCGGGTAACTTCACTTCCTGCCTTGTCCTATCATCCCCTGTGATCGTCTTAATAGTTTCCACCTGTGTCCAATCACCTGCACCTCCCTTGTGTATTTAAGCTGTGTGTCTCCTGTGTCACTTGTCGCGTGATTGTCTTTTGCCACGCATGTCCTGTTCTTGTCTCTCGCCTCCGTAGGTTCATGCCTGTGTGTTTTTGCCCCTTGGCCTTTTGGATTTTGTATCTGGTGACTATTAAAGCCTTTTGTTTCGGACAAGTCTGCATTTGAGTCCTGCCTTCCACCCTTACCCCTGACAGGCGTCAACAGAAACCTTTGACCATCTTGTTGAGTCTCTACAGCCAGGGTACTGGGAACATCTTGTCCATGTGAGACACGTCAGTTCTTTGACCGTGTCCTTGCTCTCCCAACATGCTAAAACAAAGGTGGTCATAGACATAACAAACACTTTGTTCAGTCTCTACAGCTATGACGCTGGAAACATCTAATCCAAGTGGGAGACATCAGTTCTTATGTCAGGGCCTTTGTGACCTATGCAACTAATAAACGGGTTATACAAATGAAGCATTTAAAAGGGTCACATATCATTTTCCCATTACATTAGTGAGGTGTTTGAGGCCTCTCCAAACCGAAGCAGAGTCACTTGCTGAGAACTGTTGTTGGAGTTTCTCAGAGTACAGTCGTTTAGCATCTCTCACCGTCTTGCTAAACTTGTATTTTGCCTCTGTGTACAAGTCTTTGTCCCCGCTCCTAAATGCCTGATCCTTCTGCAGACGTAGTGTTCTGAGCTCCGCTGTGAACCAGGGTTTGTCGTTGTTGTAACTCACCCTGGTGCATGATGGTACACAGCTGTCCTCACAGAAGCCGATGTAGGAAGTTACAGCCTCTGTGAACTCATCCCAGACTGTCAGTAGCCGTCCTGAAAACATCCCAGTCTGTGCAGTCAAAGCACGCCCGAAGATCCTCCAGCGCCTCACTGGTCCACTTCTTGAATTCCCTCACCACAGGTTTGCAGAGCTTTACTTTCTGCCTGTATGCAGGAATCAGATGGACCATGACGTGGTCAGAGTGTCCCAGTGCAGCACGAGGGACGGCGTGATAAGCCCTGCTTACTGTGGTGTAACAGTGATCCAGCGTGTTCTCCTCTCTGGTGGACATTTAATAAACTGTCTGTATTTAGGAAGTTCATGGGTGAGATTTCCTTTGTTAAAGTCCCCGAGGACAATAACTAAAGAGTCCGGGTTGGTCCGCTCCACACGCCGTATCTGGTCGGCGAGTGTCCGCTGAGCCTCGTGCACGTTGCCCGCCGGCGGCATGTAAACACCGACCAGGATGAATGAAGCGAACTCACGGGGGGAATAAAAGGGTTTGCAGTGGATGAAGAAAGTTTCCAGATCAGGAGAACAGTGTTGTAGGGTCACCGTTACGTCGTTGCATTCTGGATCACACTCACTGTTTGAGTTCCTTTGCTTTCAGTGAGGAGGAACAAGTAGTTTATCACCTGCAGAGCGGAGAGTGCGGGTCGGGGTGTCGGGTTGGACCAGGTCCTGGATGTAAGCTGGACCCCATCCATTCACAGCATGGTACGTGAGCACCATGTTTAGAGGACTTAGGAAGGTTAAAGAGCAGTGGAGCTGCTGCATTGTGGATGAGCTGCAGAGGTGGAATGGTGGTAGCAGGAGACCTGCAGGAGAGAGTTACAGTAGTCAGACTGACGACGCTTCATGAATTAGACCAATGGATAAAAAGCATTTATTGTCCACCAGGATACAGCCCTGATTCTGACACTATGTGATCAATAAAGACATGAGAATAGTGTGACACCGCTGTCATGTTGACACTAATCAATAGAATAACACCAATGCACAGCTATGATTGTGTTCAATGTAATGTAACCAATCAAAATGCATTCATGTAATACTTTGTACCACTTATATTGACCCAGAGAGTTACAGTGAACGCGCCATCCAATGTAATACCTCATTGCACCACTATATTCTGTAAATAACTAGTCAACTTGAACGCACCAGGAGGCGTCACGTGTCCAGGGGTGTGGACACTGCTTCTCACACCTTTACTGAACTCTATAAATATCTGTAAGCACCCATTGTTCTTGATTGGTTGGTGGAAGCAAGAGACGGTCACTATGTGATAGTCAATGAGCTCCTCTGTGGCCTGTTGATGCACAAACCAGCGGATCCTCAGCTGAGATCTTCTTTTTAGCACAACACCTTTTCTTTTATTAAAGGCTTTTCATTTGAACTTTTCAGTCCAACATGTCTTCTGTCTGTCCGGAGTTTGAACACAAGTGAGTGCGGTGCGTCACTGGGAGTCACTGGGGGTCACTGGGGGTCACTGGGGGCTCCTGAAGGTTCCCAGCTCGTGTGAAAAAGTGAAAAACGTCTACAACACTGTCTAGTTCCTTTGTCAGCGTTTATGTTCTAAGTATCTTTGCATCAGCAGATGAGAAGATTCAAATCCAACTGCCTGCTGTGGTCGACCCATTGCCCTGAACATCATGATGCACAAGACGTGTCGGACTTTGGCCAAGACAACAAATGTTATGGTAAAATGATGAATGATGAAATGTCAGGTCCTGATGAAAGACACGAGTGCACAGCACAACAAAGGCTCAGCAGCATCCCTCTGTGGTGGAAAGGGTAGTAGAGTCCATCTGCTGTATTCTGACTCTGCGGAGACCCTGAACCCCCACATTGAACACCGAGCCTTTATACACACGCTACAACTTCCTTTGCATTCTCATTTTCAGGAGATGCTAAATGTGATCTGCTGGCAGAATAATGCACAAGTTATTGATGAAAATAGCCACAGTTAAGCTGCAAATAAATAATCACTGAATGTCACTGAATCAATGCAGCAGGTTTCTGCATCTTAGAGTTGAGAAGTTCCCACACCAGAGACAACGTTTATTACTGCGTGGGGACCAAAGTGGAGCATTTAGCAGCTAGAGAGACAGAACAAAAAGCAGAGTGAATATTGGACAAAGCATCCGGTTGACTGGAACAGGACACTAGTGGACACTTAGTGTTGGTGTTGCTCTTTGGCTCAGGTGTGTACTGACTGGCAACCGTTTGGCTTTCATACCTATCAATGTTTTCTTTACAGCTCGTCACACTGTGGCCCAAAAACCCAGTGATGCACTTTTCTCCATCCTACATTTGTGTTGTGGCCAAAGTAATAATAAGAACAAGAAGAAGAAGAAGTGACGCTGCATTCATCCCACATACAACATCACAGGACGAACACGGCAAGACTCACAACACACAACTCCTCACAATGACATGATCAGAAAATATGACACAATCACACCAGCTCAAAGTAATAAGCAACATATGTGCAACAGTCCATCTTACTCCAGTGTCCCTGAATCATAGGAAAATGATACAATGCATGAACGTAACCGTTTATCGCTCTAAACAAGAAATAAAATACATGAAACCTGAGAGACAAAATGTCTTAAAGTC